ACAATTTTAAATAGTTCCGGTCATTAAATACAAAAATATAGACTTTTAAAAAAAGGTGCGCTATGTTCTCGAAGCGCACTTAATCAGTAAAATCAACTATTTCTTTAGAACTATTGTTATTTATGATATAGAACTCTAGAACTATTGTAAAACAAACCGGAACTCTAAAGAAATAGTTAATTTGAATAATTTGTTTGATTAGGTGCGCTGCGAGAATTTCGCACACCTTTTTTTGAAAGTCTGTTTTTTTGTATTTAATGACCGGAACTATTTAAAATTGTTGCGTAGAGCTCTAGAACTTTTCAAGAGAGTATCAGGTGTGTGTGAAGCTGGCGTCTCATTTCATGGAAACTCACAATTTATTTAGAGTTCTGGCTTCTTTTTCAATAGTTCTAGAGTTCCTGATAAGTTAAACAAATATATAATATATTATATAATATATATAATGTATATAATATATATAATATATATAATATATATATATATATATATATATATATATATATATATATATATATATATATATATATATATATATATATATTTTGCCGCGACATCGCCATAAACATTTGCGTGGGCTCTGAGAAAACTATATAAATATATATAATCTGAATATTCCGACGTTATGAAATGTACGATAAGATTATGGTACCATCTCGAAAAATATCCGTGAACTAATTTTTTGCTCTACTTTATCATAATTATCGGAATACCTAACCGCATGTTCTCATAAACTTTTCTGCAAAATCTTCGTTTTTTTTTGGCATCAAAACTAAATTTTGAAAGCGTAGTAGTGATCTTTGAACTTTTCCTGATTGGAGCATTCACAGTTTCAGTATGTACAACCTGCAGAATGTTTGTATTCCTTTATAGAAATATCATACTAAGAATCATTGATAATTACTTATTATCCAGTATTTTTAATACTGAAAATAAGTAATTATCAATTATTCTTAGTATGATATTTCTATAAGGGTTAAGCAAATGTTGCACTAACTGACAGTTCAAAATTTAAATTTATATAAATTTTTTTCGTTTTCGTTTTCGTTTTCGTTTTCGTCATACTGAGCAATGTTCCAATTTATTTTTGCGCGTACTTTTGTTGTGTAAAAGCGCTTATAATTCCGTGTAAGCAACTAGACGTAAACTTTGCAGGAAAAAGTCAATGTTTTTTTTTTATGTCCGGCATCCCCTTAACTGATAGATAAACATCTGTCTTTGTTTCTTCTTTAACTTAAATAAAGATAGATATATGTTTCAAGTACATAATCGTGCTTATTATTATATTATACATTTACACTAAATAAATAACTACGTTTCTTGCTTTTTAATATTTATGCACAGTTCCACGGATGATAATCTAGTCTCGGTGAATAGAGAATATCGTTATCTGACACGGGTATTGAGGTGTATTTCGTTAACGAGTTTCAGCTGCCAGTAGGAACATGTCGGTTATTATATATTTCCGATAGTAAGAGTAACTAGAAGTCCTTTTATTTTTGCTATTATACACAATTATAAATTATTTACAATTGATATTTATGAGAATTTTCTTCATTACATTCTTACATTGATCAGCAATGGTTCCATACTGATGTATGACAGGGAATAGCTATACATGATCGAACAAGACAAGAGAGTCATCTGTACCAGTATTCGTCGTTTGTAACTAGTTGAATAAGTATAAAAAATGGAATAGATATATGATTATTGCGAGTCGTAGTAATTAATACATGCGAGTACATCGAATGCGTAAATAAAATCCGCTATTCAAAAGCTTGCATTTTATGTTTATAGACTAGTAGTACACATTTCATGCTGTTGATTTCGGGGAAATAGGATGCGGCTGCTGACGGGAAATATTAAATTTGATACAGAAAGATTTTCTGTACAGCGTTATGTTATTTTAAATATGTATCGTTGCTCCTGAAAGAGCAATGAAATTCATGATCGTCTATGTTTCCTTCTCAACGGATGCCTTCTGCTGTAGGCTTTCTTGATAGATATAAAGGGCGGTACGAGCGAATCTTCTGTCTTGTTACACTGTTTTTGATCCATAGGAAACATGTACTCCAAATCGATGTCATATCTATGTATTAAAGAGATAAAAGAAAGACATTTTGTCAAGAGTTTTGTGATGACAATGAAAATATACTTTGATTCAACTTGAGCAATTCTACTGTAAATGAGTCAGTGCAAAACTACAGTTGAATTTTTTAAGAAACAATAATAAAATAATAAAAATAAAATAATTATAAAATATTAATAATAAAATAATAATAATAAAGCCGATCTCTTCGAATATGTACTTTGAGCGAAAGGTAGACTTTAAATCGAGACCAACGTACCTGGGCAGTTTCTCGCGCAAATAAGAAATGACGTTCACCCCGAGGCTCTCTTCGCGGCTCATGATGAAGCTAGATAAATATCGTGGACTTTTGCTCTTTTCAGCACAATGCATTAGCAATGCCCAGGACGTGTAGTCCGAATCTAACACATACGTATTGTACACTCCTTCATCTGAAAAAGTTAAAGTTTTTATTTATTGAACGTGTAAGCTTTCCTTTTGAGATATCTGTTAGCAGTATCTATTAATATCTATTTCCAATAAAATTATTACAGCGATGTTAGGAGAAACTCATATTTCGTGTTTTGTTTAATCTTGCAAATAATAAATTTTAAAACAGAAGATTTACGTTTGATATTCGTATGAACTTAACAGAGGAAACAGTAAAATTTTCCACTTTCAAAATCAGCGTTGATATTAATTCGATAAGAATTAGAAATAAGAAGTGACTCGTATAAGAATTAATTAAATCTAAGATTAATAATAATAACTCATAAACTATCTTGACAGATTGTGGTGCATCGTGTTAAACTTTTATAAGTAATTTGTCTACGGGTTGAACGAAAGTAGATTAATTACGAGTTAATTAGCTGTTTACATGGAAATTCGGCGTGCAGCCAGTGAGCAGGTGAGTCTGACGAGGGGATCTTCCACGTGATGTTACCAACGAGCAGCTCGTTAATAGGATCGTCGGTAAAGCTGTAAGTGAAATTCATGGTAACTTCTGCGTTCTCAGGCGAGACCGAGAGTTCGGCTCTCATGCATCTGTACGCGAGAGCTTCCTCTGAGCTTGCGTAGTACTGTACAATGTACCACGATCCGAGAAACTGCAAGAAGCGCAAGGTGTCTGTTACGTGTTGTAGTAGACATGTATAGGCGTAAAGTCACGTGTGAAATGGGCGCAACAGTTTACATACAGCGCTGATTTTCTTCGCGTTAACGTATGCTAATGAATACATGCGCTTCACGGGTCAAGCGATCGCGCACTCGACGCACAAACAGTGTTAGAAACATATTCAGGAAATTTATCGTATGTGAGTATGCACTATTGTCTTTATCTGAACTTGCATATCCTTAATTTTGCACATTGTATCTCTCAAATTTCATTGTACTTTCCATCAAACGTTATTTCGCGAGATAATTATTTTCTATTCACGATATATAAACATTCATATGTGATATTTATAAATTTAATATACAAAAAAAATCGAATCCAATAAAAGATTAATTTTTTATGTAATAGATTCTATGCTACAGATCTTATTATTGGGGAAGTTTTCTTATTAACTTTTTAACTACGGCTGTCGTCAATAGACGACAAAATGAAAATTTTCCCGTAGCTAAAGGGTTAACAGTGTTCAAACGGCTGGAAATGCAAAGAAGTATTCTCTTTGTTGGCCTCGAATTCAAAATCAGTTGAGTCTATTTTTGGCGTACTTCATTCACATTAATGTTGTGTAAACTTAGTATTTCAAATCTTACATAGAAAGAATATATATATATATATATATATATATATATATATATATTGTGATAAAAAAGAACTTGCAATCTTATTTAAATGTTTTAATATACAGTGCTCGAAAGTGTATTATTCTTTTTAGTAAACTTTAAGTCTTTGACTGTTAATTTTCTCTTCTAAAAATATATTAAAGGCGTTACGCTTACACATACCAGGAAAATTATCAGGATAATTATATCGCTAATGAAGGAGATATATTTTCACACATATACGCATAAAATAACGTATTTCGAGAAGACGAATATATGCAACAAATTACTCAGATTCAGGATGAAAGCACGAGAGAAGTTACTTTGAGGTTTTGGGTTATCGCGGAATGTATGTCCTGGTTCAGTGCCTATCTCTCTATGAAGTCACGCACGGTCGATCTAAAAAGATCCGAAAGACTAAAATATAGTTTACCGTAGCGTATTTTAATCACAAAAAACATCATTGTTTTTATAGCGTGCCTAGTTGGAAAACATACTGCGATAATATGAAGCGTGACTAAAGTTATACTTGAAAAAGCTCGTCTCTAAATATGGATTGTGCTTTATCGTGCTTTTACGACTTGAAAAAGCTGATCGTCACGCGTGGATTAAAGGGCATCCGTGTATGTACGACCCGCTTCGTCATGGTGGTGCACGTACACATGGTGTATCTCTATCGCCGTTCGCGAAAAGCAAATCGACCAGCGTGAATAGTCGCGTGTACGCGACATGTTCGAAATAGTCTTCCTTTAAATACGCATTAAGATCCAAAAATAAGTCCGCCAAACGCCACCGTGTCGAAAAGAAGACCCTGGCGCAAGCCGAGTCTCCCTAAGTAGTAGTAATATTCCACATTCACGAAACGGAATTACAAATAACTCCGCGCGCATAACCGCGTCTGCGAGATTTACTAGGCAGTTGGGTGTATATACTTGCAAACATTGTTGCGTACTCACCCACACATGCAAATATTACAGCGGTAGTTGCGCGTTTTGTCATCATAAAAAACGGAATAAATTCTCTTAATAATATGCGTCATTGTCCGCTTAATGTCGGACGCGCGTCGCTTTTTCGCGAAACACGGAAATTCACCGGAAGGCGAATAGCGAGCGCAATGTTACGCGTGAGAACGCGATATTCACGATTCGCCGGTAGGAATGCCGGGGACAAGCGGCGTTTGTCGTATCCCGGCTTATGACAGACTGGTCCGTACCGTTAATTGAACAGCGAGCGATAATTTCTATTGCGTAAAATCGGCGTTACACCTTCGTATAACAAATAGACGCGAATTGCGCCCCGCATAATAATATTCGGCCAACATATTCAACGAATGCTCGTTGATTGTCCGCTTACGAAGTCACGTCAGCAGCGGATAATACGTCAGCGCGCATCGCGCTATTTCGCACGGCAATATTGCGGATCGAATGAAGCGCGTCAAACAACGCATGCCCACTACGTAAATAACACGATCAAATTGCTCCACAAAATTAAGCTCGAAACGGTGCGACCTACCCGGCCGAGAGGTGTTGCGAACTTCCTGACAATATCGAGTGTCGCACAAATAACACTCGCGGAAGTTGATTTTGATACGTCAGAGCAGTTGTAATTACCAGGAATTAAAGCGCGATAGAGGAAGAGAGAGAGAGGGGGATTGATAATACGCGAAATAACAGATGCGTGGGATTCCTCTTTTCCTTTTTTGCCAAGCTACAATTTACACGAAATTCTATGTAAAATTCACGTATATAGAGAGAGAGGGAAAGAGAGAGAGAGAGAGAGAGAGAGAGAGAGAGGAAGAGAGCTGCGTTTCAGCTATAAATTTTTCGAGGAATTCAGAATTAATCTTTAAAAATTTATCAAGCATCTTTCGTTGGATATTCATTTTCGAAATAGATTCCCGGCCGTTTCATCTAATCTACCTATTTTTATAAACTATAAGTAAAGAAACACGTAGAAAATAAGTAGATTGGATTACTAAAGCTCCACACAAGGTCAATAGACATGCGAAAGCGATTTCTCTCTCTCTCCCTCTCTCTGTTTCATTCATGTAACCGAAAAAAATCGGCGGAGTCTGGGGAAATCATGGAACAAGTTTAGATTGTTGACCTGTCCTTGCTTCTTTAAATGAGAATATCGCTCGGCGCGTGTTAACACATATTATTCAGCATAAAAAATAAAGAAAATTATTATTTAAAATTTACAATAAACGCATGGAAAGCCAGTACATTTTCTATTACCGGTAAAACATCGTTACGGAAACCATTTTCGCAACCAAAATGAAAATTTTGAACTTCTCTCGCTCATCACTTCCACGTTCCGTGCATGACCTCTCGCTGATCGCAGAGGATCCCGTACCTCGGAGATGTCAAAGTTGCGTATGCCCTTCACTTTCGGGCATTTGGTCTTATCCTCCCGTCTCTTCCAAACACCGCCGGTGTCGTCGACAAGAAAGCCGACGAGCAGTGCTATTGTTAACCAGCAGAATAGCGAGCGTCGTCCGGTCTCGGACTGCATCTTCGTTCTGCATTCAAGCGCTTTCGGCTCTCACGGTAACGGCACGCACGTACGAATTGACCCGGCTAAGATAGTCGACGCGCGAAGTCTCCTCACTGCCGAGGCTTTGCTCGGCGACTAAAGGCCACGTACGTACACGAGCAGCACGAGGAAAGGAGAGAGAGACACGAAGAACGGACACGACTCATGACTCTCTACCAGCTATACGAACGAACGAAGAGGGGGTGGCCACTATCACGTTCCTCCCTTTGCATTCTTGCTGCTCTTTCGTTTTCAATCGGCAACTTGTTCCACGCGTAGAATCCTCATAACTGGCGCCGGCTCGGTACCAGGACTCCGTAGGCGTGATCGTCATTTATGGGCTTGAAGAGTCGGGCGCTCTCTCGTCGTGCTCAACGTTCGGGTTGTCTTGTTACCTTCCCCGTGCTCTCTCTCCGATGCGATCCGCACAAGATTCGCGACCCTTTCGCACTCGAATTACGATTTCGAAATTTATGATCGTGTCGTCTCTAGCGAGAAACAACAGTCGGCGATGTGGCTTTACGATTGTAACGCGGACGCGAGGAAGAAGAAGAGGGCAGTTTTGCAGAAACAGGATTGTGACTTTTTCGGTCATCGACCGCGGTTGCAATGATACTGCCGCTCGAATTCAATGATAGATGTGCAAATTTTATTTTAATTCACCATCTAACAATTTTCCCTTCACATTAACGATTTTTTTTATAATCTTGTCAAACAATTTGTAATGAAAATGTGAAACAAATTTTCTGGAAAATTAAATCAAACTTGTAATTGATTAGGAAAATTCAATGAGTAAATAATACATTCGATGTTGTATCTTATATATATTTAATGAAAGATATGTCTTCATCGAAATCAACGAACAATTAGCGAGCATTCATCGCTCAATAATTTAAATGTATCGGGCAAGTCGATGTTGCAATCATTGTCGATTGTCGATGAGACAATCGCATCCACGTCACATTGTCACTATGAAGTCTGACTATTAACGCGAAGACGATAAGCGAGCAAGACATCAGTTTACCACAAGTTTTCTAGATATTTGACTTATCGTGTTCTCTTGCGTATGTGTGTTGTACGTAGTATGGGTAAATTATTATTCACGGTGTATATCGGTACGGACAAACGATTCGGTACTTCTCTGAATCAGCATGCAACATCCTACACGAAGCAGACGTGTTTAACATATGACACTGATATTGAAAAGCCTCGCTCAATGTATAACGAACTCCGGTTAGCTTTTCATGGTATAAACTGAAATGCAAAACTAATAATTTATGTTATGAAATCAGAAATTTCTAATAATCAAAATGCGCTAAAAAAGCTTTAAGTTTAAACATGTAGCTTTGTCACAGAAGCATTGTCGCTTCTATAAGTAATATCACGGAATTTAATACTGATTTGTTCAGATAAAATCATTTTATCAGTACTGTGTGAACCACAAATTGTCGGAGTGCATGTAATCTGTTTACTGAATGACTACAATTTACATTAAATTTACGTAAACACAAAAGTAGATATAAAATCTGGTTTTAAACAACTGCTCGCAAGCATTTCGCTTTAAGCCGCGTCGAATACGCTTTGAATTCTCGCTGTGAGATAAATAAACTCTTCTCTGTTATCGGTCTATTATTTTATCATACATCCTTTTCCTCTGCGCGCTCGACAATAGGAATGCTCGACAACAGGAATCGTAAGTCACGATGAAAATATTTCGTTGCGAGAACACTAGTATCAAGACGGAAATTGGACAGTTTGGGAATGCGTAGAATGTAGCAGATGATGGATCAATCAATGCCATCGAAATTATAATAAAATCTGTCACGTTACGAGACGTAAGTGAAATGAAAAAATTCTCGCCGTATCAATTTCAATTCACGAAGTAACGTTGATAACATTATATTCTCGCAGAGAGAAGTAAAAACAGAGAAGAAGAGAACATAGATATTTTGAAATGGATCGAAAAGATATATATAAAAGATTTTTATTAAATTCTCTTCATGTCGAAAAATAGATATTGGAATCTGTCGTACAAAAGTCGGTGTTACTGCTACTTAAGTTGCACTGTATCGAATTCAGTTAATGCGATCAAGTTCGTCCACACCTTCAGTATTATTGACGTCGTCGTTGTCGTCGTAGGTTACGTGTCATTTCCAGGGAGGCTTATTTCTCTGTTGATCCATTTTTGTAATCTTCTGCGAGGTAGGCACGTTTTCGTCAACATCGTGTATACAAGCCTAGCGATAAAACAATGCTATTTCATTTCTGTTACGAGTATGTGTTGATTATCAAAATTTTTTGGCCAACAAAAAGACAAACCTCGGGAATTGGCTGCCATGAAATGCTATCCTCGCTCTTGATACTTAATTCTTTCTTCATGTAATGTTTTCGCGGTACCTCTCTGCACATCAATGGTGGGCTCGAAATGGAGTTTCTGCACTTTGTGATATCTTCTCTCGCTAGCTGCATCTCTGCGATCTGGGAAAAAGTGATGTGTATTCAACTAATGCGATTATTAATGATTGCAAATTAAATATATAATCATCTAGATCTTACCGACCATTTTCACGTATTTCCGAAGATCGTCCTTCGAGCTGTTTCTACTAGTCAACGGCGTATTTTCTATAGAGTTCATCGTGATCGCGCTTTCATTCTGATCGTCAAGAGGTTGCACAGCGATTGGAGTTTGCGCTTCCAACGATTGCATCACGTATCTTATCGGTTCCTGGGAAAGTTTAGTGTAACAATTTGGCATTGATTCGGACTTCACGGGACCTTTGATCAAGTCAAAGGATTTGTCCGCGTGAATCTTTTGAATCGGAGCTAAATTGTCCGTGTTACCACCTGCAATTGCATTCTGTAGTCTACGGGACATGTACTACAAACGTACTACAGACTTAGAGATATCAACGGTATTGATAAGCAATCGGATGCATTGGATACAAGCTTGAATATATTCGGCTTACCCGATATAATGTGTAGAGCTTGCTGCCATTGTTTCTGCATGACTGAATGCAACTGTTCTGCAAGTTGGGACTTCGTGGCACGCTGAGAATTCAAGTGTGTCTCCAATATAGATGACTTCTGCAAAGCTTGAGCCAACTGCAATTCGTACAATCGTTTTTCTTCTTTATGTTTCTCCTCTAACAAATTTATTTCCAAATGATGCCTGAGAAAAAAATTCAAAAAGTTCAAATATCTCGAAATATTGATTGATATATTGCTGTATAGGAAAGCGAACTAACTTGTCGATGACGTCCTTTATCTTCCTGGCAGCGCATTCAGCTATAACTTGCTGCCTTGTTTTCATTTCCTCCAAAAATTCGGACTCGGCTGTGTCAAGTTGCATCTGAAACTCTTGTAGTTTCGCCTTCACCACCTCGTCCACTTGTTTCTGGTAAACTTCCTGCAATTCTGCTCTGATATTTTCCTTTTGTTCCGCGACGGACTTGATTTCATCCTTTGCTAATTTCTGAAAATACAAAAAGCATAATTACACAATGAGAACTATTACGTATTATTGCGTATATCTTATCATATAGTATTATATTACTTCTGCTTTCTTAGCGTCGTCGATAGATACAAGCAGCGACGAATTCTTTTGTTCTAAAATAGAATTTCTGCTTATCTCCTCTTTAAGTTTGAGCTGCATGTGCTCCTTCTCTTGTTTTAGCACTATCAATTCCGCTTCGCAAGTGTCCAATGCTTTACGAATAAGACCCATCTCGTTTCTCACTTCCGTTTCTCTGAAACGTTCCTTACTCAATTCTGATTGCATTGCTCTCAGTGTCTCTTCTTTCTGTTGATTTTTCTCCAGGAGAGCGTTGAATTCTATTTTCATTTGTTCGTATCTGTTTTCCGCTTCTTGAACCAAAGATTTGTAACTTTCTAACTCGTCTGCGTGGGTTTTCAGAAGGTCGATTTTCTCTTTGGTCGTAGTGTCGCTCTTTTCTTTATATCCAGCTGCCAAGTCTAAGGCTTTCGACAATTCTCGTTCGAGACGTTTGATTTGAGACTGAAATTCCGCAACTTCGGATTGATGTTTCTCTGTGACATTTTGCAGATTAGTCTGTGAACTTCTGTGTTCAGTCTCCAATATTTCTACTTGCTGCTTCAACTTTGACCAAGCTGTATGAAATTGAGATATCAAGACGTTTTTGTCATTGTCCACTCTAATTGCTACTGCTACCTTCTCTTGTTGCTCCAGCAGACGTTTCTGAAGTTCTTGAATCAGTTGTTCGCAATGCTGGAAATACAAAGTATAGGTAATTATCCATGCAGTATACATATACACATATGTTCTACCTCTCTGCGAAATTTCTCTTCTTCCAGTTTGATTCTAAGCGTTTCTTCTTGCAACCTAGTTGGATTAGTATCCCAAAAATCTGATAGTGACAAGAGCCTTTGACATTTCCTGTACAAACGAATATTACAATAATTTATTGCGAGTTACTAGTGAAAACCTGTTTTACAAAGCTTGCATCATAGATTATTTCATAAGGATAATAGAAATTTTCTAAGAGAACAGAAATTTTACATATTTTACATACTCATTACCTTAACTGAGGATCTGTATTTGTTCCAACGTGCACAGAGTTTTTGGAAAGTTCATATTTTTCTTTATCATCATGCAAGTTTTCATTACGCTGTGATACTTTGTAAAGATCCAACAAATGGTCAGTATTACTATACTGCACAGCTTTTGTTGGTACAAAATCAGCTAATTTGATTGATTCAGTAACACGTGATACAGGATCTGCTCTCATAGTTGAGGATTTTGACTGAATTTGCGCGCTGCTTGTTTCATTTGTACATAAATTACTCTGACTCAATTTTGGCTCTTTCGGTTTAGCGACAATCGTGGCAGACAACACATTGGATAAGTGATCTGTATTTTTGACACTTTCTGTCGTACATCCGTTTGGCCGTGGGGCGGACTGCTGAACACTTTGCTCCCAAGTTTTAAACTCAGAAATCATTTTATCAGTCTCGTCTAAGTGGAATGAATCACTATATGGTAATGACATATCGGGAAATGCACATTTCTTTTGGGAGATTGCTGATAAAACATCAGTCGATTGCGACTCCTTATTGCACGATTGGAAGTCCAGTCGTCGATTCGTGCCACTGAGCTTGAGTTGCGTCTCTTTCTCTTGACTATCCATACTATCAGCGATTCGAGTCAACGACACTGACTGAACCGGTTCATTATGATATTTATATCCACCAGTGCTATTTATCCTTTTAGCTAATTCTAACTCAGTGGCCTCCATCTCCTGAAGCAACTCATCGACCTCAGACAGCTCCATTTCTTGCACTATTCTAGTACGGGTATGCTGCTGACCTATCGAGGTGTTAGATAAGTTTGATGCAAGTATCGTAGAATGCAAGGAATCATAGGGTTTAAGATAGGAAGTAACTTTACTCGCACAGTAGTCGTTCGAACGGAGAGACAAATGAGATTCCTTTCTCGCGGATGTAGCAGTGGCATGCGGAAGCCCAATACCACAGGAAGCAGAAGGAGGCACCACATAGGAGTCGGAGAACGACGTTACAGCATCATGCTTGGCCCGAGCGAGAGTGTTAGTAGTAGTAGTAGTCGGTTTCGCGATAGAGGCTGTCAAGGAGCAGCGTCCCGAACGCATATCATTCCCCAGAGAATTAGTACAGGTCTGCGACGTACGTCCGCTCGGAGTAGCAGGAACGGAGAGAGACTGGCGAGGTTTTACGGGGCTATTTTGCAGACTGCCGCCTTGACTTACGGAGAACTTAGTTCTGGGCAGAGTTTGCCGATAATAAGAGTGACATGTGCCGCTGTGGGCTCCGTGAGAGTCCAACGAATTGTTCAACGCAGACACGTCCAGACTGTTGTCCCTGGATTCGATGGCGGAAATCCGGGACTCGAGCGATTGCATGTGCTCCACCAGTTCCGAGATAACGCTGGTCTTTCCGCAGTTCGTTCTCACGAGATCGCTCGAGCTGGACTCTGAGTCGGGAGACGGGACGTGGAATATGTCGGGCGGGATCAGGAGTAGAACGTCCGTGTCATCGGACTCACTCATTATCCATCTAGAGGATTCCCTGCAACCGAGAACGAGCGCACACCGCACTATTAATCGAGAGCGAAGCAATCTCCCGGCATCGCCGTGCCTCGTGCATTACCCGGAACAGACCATATACGTTTTTAGGTTAGGTTAGGTTACATTAGGTTACGTCAGGTTATATTACCTTCTCGCGACGAATATTCACTTAGCGGAGCTACAGCACGGAACGCATATCGTGTGTCCGAGTGGCGTTCATACACGACGATTAATCACCCTTGGTTTTTCATTAACCGCTTGCCGCATGTTACGATTTTGTAAACAAACAGACACATACGCGTCGCAAAGAAGACATCACCACTGCACTTGAGGGTTACCATATGTACGGTACAGATGGCGCGAGTATTGCGAATACTCAACGCGCGAATCTTTAGCGTTCGATATGCGGAAGTCCCACAGATGGCGCGCAATAGCAAGCAGCTTGTCCTATTTGAATGTTCGGAACATTACAGGTAAGACGTGTTCAGACTTGTTTCAGAATTAACGAAAGTTTGTCGGGGAATATCGAATCGAGACGTCGTTGTCGAGCGACGAGAAACGTCTTACGATGGGATATTCCAACTGAACTTGTTAGCAACGTCAAGTAAATCTCGTTTCCTACCAACGGCTACAATTTATTTACGAGTAAATATTCGCGGAATGCCGCTGCGAAATCTTTCGGGCCGCCATGATTCGTTTGCAAGCTACATTCATATAAATAATGTCATAGGTATTTCGCGAGCAAATATTGATCGGTGTAAAATGAAATTATAGCATAACGCTCGTTTACACCACCGTTCACCGCGGCTACGAGACGCAACCTCAATTTGTCAATTGTTACTTTCAGCGGTCGTGTCTCGGAACATATCGCCCGTATATTGACATGTCGTCGCGGCAAAGTGAGACACGCATCATACCGGCACAGTCGGAGAGTTACATTGAAGAAGCGATGGAAATTCCAACGGAGCGCACTCATACTGTGGGATAATAAGTAGCTGTCCCGGCAAAAGGGTCAAAACTGTTCCGACGAAAAGGCAAAAACTGCTCTAGGTGAGAACACATTACTTTTCATAAACGGAAGTAAAAGAGGCCTTAAAGCATTTTTAGGTTTCTTTACGAGGATTAGGAATTTAATTTTACACGCAATAAATTTCCGTCAATTTGTCCTAATCTAAATATGAGACGCTCGCGTAACAATGAAGCGGTATTACAAAAGTTCGTCTCGAGATAAATGAGATCGAAGTTTCGCATAACTTTAAGTAATTTCGTTTTATTTTCTCTTTTGTTTTCCATCTATCGAGACGAGCGAGAGAAGGTATTATTTCTCTCATATATTATGATATGAAGAACTTCGTGATAAAAGCGTTTCACTTTTTTTTCATTTTTTGCGGGTTAAGTTACTATTAAACTCACCGGGCTCGTATGTATTCTGAGTTCAGAAACGCTTCTGTGTATTCTGGAAATGAGGCATCGGTTGTAATGGAGAAAGATACCAAAGGCGGTACTTTAACATATCGTTTTATTAAGTTTTCGTAATGCAAATTGCACTTCTTCTCGGTCGACTACAATATTTACTTTATTTTCGCATAATATTATACACCTGCTTAAGGTACATTATGAAACGTCTTGTGTCGCATGCACTCTCGTATCGTGTTGCGAAAGAGAAAGAGAGGAAGAGAAAGAAAGAGAGAGAAAGAGAGGGCGTTTTTTATAGAGAGGCGTTAGAAGCGTTAGAGGCGGAAGCTTCTTATGATATTATGAATATCACATTAGGCTATATCACGTATCAATAACAACGTCAATCTTCGACCACGGAGTATGATGGATGCACTAAAAAGTAGTCGATCGTTTATGTGATGTATTTCATCATCGATTTATCAATAAAAGGAAGACGTAACATCCGGCTTATATATTAATACTTCGAATTTTCTGTCTGCTCCGAAAATCGATACTTTATTTCGAGGATAATTTGGATGTTAATTAAGAACTAAATTATCTCATTTGAATATTTGTTGCTAATAAATTTTTATTATTACACGAAATAACGACACGTAAATCATGAAGTCTATTTGTAAGGTAATTTAATGGTCAACAGCGCGTTTCTAATTTTCAAGTCTCTTTTGTTGTATATATAAAATAGATTTTATATAGAATTTAAAATCGTCTATTAAGCTGGAAATATATTAAGTTTCTGTAAATTAATAGTTGTGACGATATTTACGATGTTAATTTTTATTTAAGGAACGATCGAGTAAATTCTAGCACGTCGTCGAATATTTTTGCTTCCAGCGACTACTTTTTTAAACAGTTTTTAGAGTAATGGAAAATTGTAGTCGCAGGTTATTTCTGTAAATAGTTAAAGATTTTTTGCCATTAACCATTAAGTATAAATTTGTTGGTTATATCTTATTAAAAGAATACGATGTATCTCGCTATCTAATTAATTAACTAACGCATCTAATTAATTAACTAACGCATCTTATGTGAAGCAAGAAACTCAAATATGGAATAAATTTATGTTTAAAAAAAAATATATAATATATTTTATAATGTAAATATACATAATTCCCGATTCAACAAGTTAATTAAAAGAGAGAATTTGAGAATAAAAATATTCCTAACAACAAGTGAGATTTATTGAATTTATTGAATGTTATATTGCGCGCGGAACCATATATAATCACAAACGTGATCAAAGAAATGCTCTCCAATAGACTAGAAGAACAATCGCGCATCGGGAAGGATTAACTACTACTTTCTTATCGCGAGCTTTCAATCCGTAATGATTTATGATTTTTTGTTTTCAAGTAGCTTTTCACTTATAAACACAGACATGCACACATATAGTATACGATAAAAACTGTTTAAATATTTAACACCGCGAGAGACCTTCCTAATTGAGATACCAATTAGTGTTTACACTGGAGAAGGTCCCAGTGGTGCCAAATGGCGCCTTATGAAAATTCTCATTAAAGCATCAGCCTTCAAAAAGAATTTAAATTGTAAGATTCGACCACTTGAAGCTTAGCTCGTCGTGTCTTGTAAAATTTAATCAAATACGTCGCAGTAAGGTTCAATCTCGAAAATGTGTGTATCACGTAATATATGATTTAAGACGATATAATGACGTAATATATATATATATATATATATATATATATATATATATATAACACAATAAAATAAAACATACAATAAAGTAAAATATAACGAAGAAGAATAGTAAAATATGATAAAATATCACATTAACTTTAATATAATATGTATAGTATGAGAAAATTTCATAGGTATTAAATTCATGTTTATGTAAGACAAGTGTATGTATATATATGTATGTATATAAGTCAAGACAAGTAGTTTGTCTTCACATTATGTGCGTAAGTCTCTACTTAAGGGTTAACGGCAATAATCACACTCGGAACGCGTGCAAGCGAGGGGAAAACCCTCTTGATGCACTTAAAAAATGCAATCCACGCAAGTTGAAACAACGCGACTGTACGAGCACGAGACATATATTGAGCGTGCGTAGGATGACACGTCGGCGGAACGCGTGTTAGCATTTTGCATCAAGTTTGCATTCCAAGCGCCGTTGTGTGTCCGGAGCTTAACGTGGAAGTTCCTGCATATAAACATGTACAATATAAACCTTCGGCAGAGCAAATACTCAGGCTCGGCATCACGATACGATTTGCAACGATCAACACGACACGCTTCCGCGTGCGCACGCACGCCACGAACACTGATTAATCTTATCAATTAACGACGAAGTTAAATTATAACGAAGGACTGCACGCAAATTTACGACGCAATCCAGTAGAAATAGAATTTCTCGGTGAAATTGATTCGTCCTTAACGAAAACTTTGCTGGACATAATTACACGTAATACATTACGTAATCGACAATTTCGACGAGACCCATTCGGCGAAAATTCTTAATGCAAATAATCAATAAACGTAATTGACTTCGTAAATGCAGATTTTCGTTAAAGATAAATCGTTTCTAAATAAAAAATTACTGATTGTTAGAAAACGTTGTATTCTCCATAATATTTGCGCGCCGTTAGACTCTCTTTCGTATGTCACTAAAACTCTCGTAACTTTCATATGTAGTCGCATCTTATTCACGACAGTACGCGGTAAAACGACGAGTCTCCTTCTCTGTCTGCGCTATACAATCATGAAACTACCGGGAACGCGCGGACATTTGATGATTACTTAGAACATACGATTAATCGTACCGGTAAATATATATATATATATATATATATATATATATATATATATATATATATATATATATATATAT